TTTTTTTTTTTTTTTTTTTTTTTTTTTTGTGGTTACAATTTATAAAACAGTTTTAGGTTTTAAAACGGAAAAAAAAAAAAAAATCTAAAAATATATATATATATAATGTAAAATAAATTTTATTTAAAAGTATAATACACAAAATATATAATTTTATGTTAAAACATAATAGCTCTAATAAAAATAAATACTATATAAAAGATAATATTTATATTAAAGAAAAAAATTATATTTTTGTTAAATCACTAAAAAATATATATAATCAACATAAAATATTATATATATTTTTTTATTTCGTTACATTTAATCTTTATTTTTCCATTTACTAAATACATTTAATTTATTATTTACTAATAATCTATAATATATAAAATATATCCAAAAAGATATGTGTAAATAAAATAATATGTTCATTGATATATTTAGCATCATTTTACTACCAAGTCCTAAAAAAAAAAAAAAAAAAAAAAATAATATAATGAAGAAAAACTGCAAATACAAGAATTAATTTTCGGAATTTTCATTATAAATATTATTTATAGGAAGCTAAAATATATATAAAAGCACTTTAAAATCATTTCCTTTTTTTTCATATTTATAAAAAATATTATAAATTTTAATATGATTATGTATGTTCATTCATATTAATTATAATAATATTTTTAATATTTAAATTATTATACTTTTCTGCTATATTTTCAATATAATCTATGTAAAAATAGTATATCTTTTATAATCACAAGTTGTTTCATATATATATATTTAAATATTTATTAAACATTTTTTAAATAACAATATATATCAACATTATTAACAATATTAATATAATAATAGGAATCTCATATGTTTCTATATTAATATATTATAAAAAAAAAATATATATAAAGAATATTAATAATTAAAATAGTTACCTGCCCATTCTTCATTATCCATTTGAATATAAAAAATATTATTCTTGGGGTCAAAACTTGTTTTAGGAACACCTGTTAAAGCAGCCCTTGAAAAATCATGATTTAAATCTAAATATCTTGCACACCTTTTTGTTTTTTTTTTAATAGAAGATATCATTTCTCTACATTTCCAGTAAAAATCACTTCCATGTGTTGGTTTCCCAACATATATTAATTTTCTTTCATTTAAATTATTTGAAACATTTTTGTTAATTACATTATTGCCATACTTCAATAGTTCATTAAATTTATTTTTTCTTAAATCATCAATTTTAAACAATAAATTTCTATTCATCTTTCTCTTTTTTTTTTTTTTTTTTTTTTAAAAATTCTTATACTAAATTAAAATAACTATAACATTATTTTTAATCAAATTATATAACTTATATATATATATATATATTTATAAATTAATATATTTATATATTTATTATATATTAAAGGTATAATATAAATGTTTTTATTTTATTCTCTTTTTATTTTATATTATTTTTTTTTTTTTTTATATTTTAATTTATTTTAAATTTAATTTAATTTATTTTTATTATTTTTTCTTTTTTTTTTTTTTTTAAGTGCGAATTAATTTAACATAAAAAAAAATTTTGTAATGAAACTTCAATTTTTGTTTTTAATTTTTTTATTATATTATAAAAAAAAAATATAAGAACTTACGAAGGCATGATTAAAAAATAAAAAAAAAAATTTCTTTTTTGTATTTACAATATTCCCATATAATAAAATGATTAAAAATTTGTAAAAAATTTTATTTTAATATCCAATATATTTAAAATACTGTAAGTTAAAAAAAAAAAAAAAAAAAAAAAATGAAAAAATTAATTTCCAAATTATTAGAAAAATGGAATTTTAAATTTATATGTGCTATATAATTATTTTAATTTCGCTTATATAGTTTTAAAATAATATGAATTATTAAACTAAAATAAAATATATAATTACGTCTTTTATTTTTTTTTTATGGTTTCCTTTGATTAAAAAGCAATCAGGCTTTTCTATAACATTACTGTTACAAATTGATTCAATTTCCTTTTTCAATACCTTAAAATAATTAATGAAGTATAAAAATTAAAAAGAATTTAAATAAAGAATATAAAATTAACTAAATAAGTATAAACAAGTAATTATTTTTATATCAAAAATTAATGAATATTAATATATTTAATAAAGGATAAAAGCTTTTTTATTTATTATATGAATATATTTACTTCAATAAATTTTTCTTACTTCTTTATTTCCCTTTATCTTTCTTATAACAGTTACTACAAGATTCTTTCTATTTTTATATTTAAGAAAGACTGGTAAATTGTCTGATGCTGAAAAAAAAAAAAAAAAAAAATAATTATATAATAAAATTTTTATCATACATATATAGATCTTTTAATTTAATTTTGCAAAAATAGAATAAATTCCATCAGCATTATATTTTACAATTTTTTATTTTATATTTTTGAAGTTAAATTTCAAAAGAATACCTGTTCTTCTTATATAAAAAGGAATTCTATTAATTTTTTTTCTATATGCATTTAAATACTCATTATAAATACTTAAATAGTACTTTGGCATATAAATAAATTTGAAAATACTCATAATTTTTAAATAAAAAAAGGCATATAAATTGTTTATTATCAAAATATTACATTAATTGTAAAAATGCTACATTATCATAATATTTTTTTATTTTCAAAAATTGTTTTGTTTTGTTTTGTTTTGTTTTTTTTTTTTTTTTTTTTTTTTTTTTTTA